GTGAGAACTGCTTGGAAACGTACAATGAAGTACTATTGAGGAATAGTTTGAAAACGTAAAATGGACTACACTATGGAGTATAATGGAGTACACTAAAAAAAATGAAGTACCCTTGCTTGAATGGTATACACGCTCCTGTTAATAAATGGTTGGCGGGGCGAAAGTGGTGAAATAACTCTTCAAATTAGTCTGTGCGTGACGCAGGAAGTCAAATCCATTTTAATTATATGATATGATTTTAATTGCGAAATCAACAAAATCAAAATGTTAATTATATATGCATAAAATACGGAAAAAATAAAATTCAGTAAACGTGACACTTTTCAAAAGGTATGGTCATGACCTTCCGCGGTTGCTGTAGTAGTGTGACGCATGGCTACTAACGAGCCTTGTTCGTATACTACACTGTCTACTGAATGTCAAGGCTGAAATAAATTACGCACCAACGCCCCGCCCTTCTCGCTTTTGATACAGGTATAAACTTGTTGAATGTGTTTCGTGTCATGGCTCATTCATGTTATTTAATGTAGGCGCCCGAACGACACTTAGGGTGGGATATGAAACTTATATTATGAATGAAAGATAAGGAAGTAATAAGTCCTTCACAAAGACGACTCAACAGATGTTTGGCTACAACACGTGCCCTTAGCTCCTTTGTATAGGATCGGGTAACAATGACCCTCCATTTTCATAACGCCATCCAATATTCAAATAAGGTTAGGTTGATTTGCACACTTGAAAGCAGGACCATATCTTTGTTATTCAAATTAGTTTCACTTATTCGACGCTGGTTTGTTTGTTTCCGTTTTTAGGTAGCCCACTCGAAGTTTGTCATCTCTTTAACCGCTTTTCACGGCCACTCTTATTTTTTTAATGTGATTGCACCAATCATTCGTACAATCAGGTGCCGACCAATACTTTGACGAGACTTAGTGTGAGTTAACATGGAGCAGAAAACGTATGGACTGCTATATCTTGTTGTATTAATCATGGCCACCACCCGACATTCCGATGCACAGCAAGTCAACACTACAAGTGGTCTAGTACAGGGAACTACGGTACAATTTCACAATACGTCCGTGAGTATTTATAAAGGAATACACTACGCCGAGGCACCTATCAATGAGTTGCGATTTAGTTCTCCACAGCCATATGCATATCGACAAGGTGTGTACAACGCGACACAGTTTGGACCATCATGTCCACAACCACGAGACTTCTTGTATGATTTACCTAACGATCGCACAGAAGAGGACTGTTTGCTGCTTAATGTTTACGTGCCAGAAACAGCCACAGTCAACAATTCCTTGGCTGTAATGGTTTGGATACATGGCGGTGGTTTTGTAGTCGGTCAAGGAAAGATTTACAATGCTGTGCCATTGACTGTTTATGGTAATATTATCGTTGTTACCATAAATTACAGGCTTGGTATTTTGGGGTCACTGACAACTGGCGATGAACTTGCCAAGGGAAACTACGCCTTCAAAGACCAACAGTTAGCCTTGCGATGGATAAAGGATAATATTGGTAACTTTCACGGGAATCCCAATCAGATTACTATCGCTGGTGAATCCGCTGGAGCGACCAGTGTTATGTACCAAATGTTGTCTCCTTCAAATGAGGGTCTATTTCAACGAGGGATAGCGATGAGTACGTATTTCACACCACAATCACGACCACACCACCCTCCACAAGCAGCAGAATTTTACATCAGGGTCGCATCAATTGTGGGTTGTTACAACAGTACCGTGGGAGATGTCGGTGCACAGCCTCCCCCACCTCCAAACAGTGAAGCTATTCTGCAGTGTTTGAGGGCTGTGTCGGCCGATGATCTGATCTCCGCTGCATTGTCCATACCACTGCTTCTCTCAAAAGTTCCATATGGGGTAGTTATCGATGACGAGTATTTTCCACATTCCGTGCGAACAATGATTGAGTATTCTGATCTAAATAAATATGATTTGATGATAGGCACTGTGGACCAGGAAGGGTTAGTGTTTGCTATTAACATTGGTCCGTCTATTGCTGAAGGATTGTCACTGGAGACATATAAGGTATTGTTACAAGATTTATCAGCTTCATACACATCTGGTGTACCTGAAGCTGCTTCATCGATAACCCAACAGTACACAGACTGGGACAATGTTGATGACAAAAATATGAATCGATTGAACGGATATATTAATGCAGCGGGTGACATCGCATTTTGCCTCCCGAGTATCTACTTTGCTAATCGCCATGCCACCGACAGTGATGGAACCAAATCGACATACTATTATGATTTCAAAACGTCTGTACCGATGTCTTTTTATGGAGATATAGCTACTACTGCGGGACATGGCGATGAATTGGGATATTTGTTCTATGACGAAGATAGTCAGTTGTATCAATCTACGCCATATCGAGATATTCAACTAAGCCGTACTATGATAGATTACTGGGCAAACTTTGTAAAAACTGGGTAAGATATTTACATAATTATTCAGATATTGTGAATATTCCTTATTCGCGAATGGCCGAGCGCGATGGCGTTAAAGAATGGAACTATATTTTGAGGACGAAAAAGATCACGTGTATTTGAACGAGATCTCGTCGGCTATTTGCGAATGAGATCAATTAAAGGACAATGGCACCTTGTTACCTGTAAATCATTAACTACATGAATTAACTGGTATGATTAATGTGAATACAGCTGATGCATTGAAAATATCAATGCAATTTAGCAGCAATTCTGAATGTGAAGACGACATTTCACTTTTGCGGTATGGTTTAAAAAAGAGAGAGACTAAATTTGTGGATTATGGATATTATAGACATGTTGATAAATATGCATAGATTGGATATAACATTGTCTCAATTTCACGTAATATGTCGCGCGGAGATCGAAAATTTCCATTTATTGTGCAATTATTGATCGATGTTTATACAAATGTTTTCATGTTCTAGTTCGTGTTTATAGTTACTTATACATGTTTCTCTGATTGCGATCCGGCCTTTAGTTGCTGAGTTATAAGCATTACAAGTTTAGAAACAAACACAATCTTACCAGATTGACCATTTTAAAAGTCGGACCCATTGCGAACGTAGGAGAAGTAATCTCAACGATCACGCGCTATACACGCAAAAACACGTGTCCGACCGAAAGCACGTTTCACTTGTTAGTCTTGTTAGTTTTGTCTTGTACACAACGTTCATCCAGTTTCTTAATAGTCCTTCATTTTGACTGACTTCGCATACTGAGATTGTCTTGCTGTGTGTTAATAAGGGAAAGGACCTGTGCTGGACTTTATCCTTCCACAACATAATACAAGGCGCCGTGATAATTGTCAACATATCTTTAGAACTAAATTTGAACTAACTTTGATTTATTGCCTGAGTTTATTTTAAGTCGTATGTGTTAAAGTTTTATTTTGTTGGTGATTAATTTGTCTTCACAATTATATTTTGATTTAATTATTTGTTTTCTACTTTTTCTAATATTTCATTTCTATTAACAAAGTGTATTCTATTATTTTTCTATTTATCTTTTTATATATATTTTGTTAATGTTCGTGCGGATTATGACATTGGAGTTGTGTTACAAAATTATCGCCCTTGTTTTTATTTGTTTGATAACTTATGTCATGAAATTCAAAGTTAACTACAGCTTGCCAAAATATCAGACACTCTCAAACTTGTCCTGAAACTTAAATATAGAACAGAAACAACAGTTGGTCACTTGTCGGCTCCAAATAACCTTGAAACCAGGACGGAATATAAATATATCGGCTCCTGCTTTTTTGTATATTTTCCGCCTGGTTTGTATCCTATAGGTGTACTAGTATTTAGTTATTTTAGAACATGCGACGACGAAATGGTATATGATATTAAAAGTAACTTTTTGAATATTTTCCACAGTAACCCTAACAACGGAACCACTGAGATGAGCGTAGAGTGGCCCGAGTACACAACAGAAGATCAGAAATATTTGGAAATTAAACACAATTTATCGATAGAGTCGAACCCTAAGAAAGAAGAAATGAATTTCTGGTTGAAATACGTGAGTACCATTGGTGAAGATACTTGTAATGCTATAGTGCCACCTATATATTCACCTGATGGGCCCACGGCCCGGGATCACTCAGATATCAAACCCAGTGTAAACACCACATTTGGGAATGTGGTAGGGTTCAGTATTCAGTCACACGCTGCCACTGGTGGAAACATAGTTGACGTATTCCTTGGTATTCCATACGCTAAACCACCCACAGGATCAAGGCGTTTTTCTTCACCACAACTTCCCTACCCTTGGAGTGAACTTAACGCCACGGAATATGCTCCGACTTGCCCTCAGCCTGGGAGGTCTGATTACAGTGAAGACTGTCTCTATCTCAATATTTTCACGCCACAACGCGATACTGAAGAATTATCACCAGTAATGGTATTCATTCATGGCGGTAACTTTATACAAGGTACTGGATCTGACCAGTCTGGTGACGTCATTGCAGCTTACGGTGATATCACTGTGGTAACTTTCAACCACCGTCTAGGTGCACTAGGATTTCTTGAAAGTGAAGAAAATAACTTGCCCGGTAACTATGCACTTCAAGATATTCTGACTGCACTGGAATGGGTCAAAGGAGATATTCAATATTTTGGCGGTGACCCAGATGCTATAACATTGGCCGGTTTGGGCGCTGGTGGAATCAGTCTCCATTATTTGATGACGTCATCTCTCTCTGCAAATCTTTTTCATCGTGCGATACTTTTTAGCGCCCCTGGCATTGATCCAATGAATATGGACGTAAATCGGGCAGAATCCCAACGACTTATCAGGCGCCTTGATTGTGAAAACGAGAACACCAACCAACTACTAAGGTGTTTACGTCGAGTTAATGTATCCGATCTGATTGTTTCCCCCGATTTGGGAAAGCTTTCGTTTCATCCTGTCGTTGATGGCACTGTTTTGGTGGGAAGTGCTCTGCAAACACTTAAATCACCTAACTATATTGCACGTGATGTATTAATAGGTATGACTGATTCTGAGTTGGTTAAACTGTTATTACCATATACACGTGGGTCTGACATGACGATGGAGCTTGAGACACTATCGACTTTTATTGAGAATACTGTTCTATTAAATGACGCAAAAGAGAACCGTTTACTGGTTAATTCTATCATGCAAAAATACACTCGTATTTCGAAAGACACAGACGAAGTGAGGACCTCTCAAACAGCCCTGAATATCTTAAATGATTACGCAGTGTATGTTCCAAATATACAACGAGCCAATCTTCACAGCACTGCGGGTGCAAACGTGTATATATACTACTATACACAGAGGCTATCACATGCCAAGCTGCCTTCATGGATTGGTTCAGCTCATGGTGATGACGTCAGTCTAGTGTTCGGGGAACCTTTTTATGTAGGACCTCGGAGACCGACTTATTTTAATGACCAGGAAAGGACGGTGTCCCTAAATCTGATGTCTTATGTAACGAATTTTGTGAAATTTGGGTGAGTCCTCGTAAATCGTCTTCAAATTGTATAATAATATATAGTAGTAGTAGCGTTTGAGCTTTTATTAGCTATATATTTATATTAACATTAAAAGTATCATGTGATTTGGTTTGTTCACACAGGAATCCAAACATCGACAAAGCGATACCAATCGAATGGCCTAAATATAACGTAAGTTACCCGTATTATTTAGACATCGACATATGTCCTACAGTTGAGAAGAATTTGAAACCTCTTGAGGTGGAATTCTGGAGTAACTTAGTACCACAAATCATCGAAGCTACCAAGAAAGAAGAACTGGAAGAGCAAGAAGACGACACACCAGTTTATATTAGTGGGCTAACGCACCAGCAGGCTGTGAGCCTAATGGAAGCACTGATTGTTGTTGTATGTGCTGTGTGTGTTGTATTTATAGTAACCGTTTCTTTAATGTGCGGATATGTACACAAGTTAAAACGTCACTCCCGTCTTGGTAATAAACACACCAGGTTACCCAGTATTAACGAACAAGACTTTTCAACGTCAATGTGAATTTAAAAATATATCTGGCAATGGCTTAAATTCGCCATGTGATTGACTTGGGCCCAGAACATGAATAACATGTAGTAATAATAAATCATTAGTTATGCTGAAAAACAATACATCAAAATAATAATCTTTCTTGGAGCACGTAATTTTCATTTGAACTTTTTATGGTCATAAATGATCCGATTACGCCTTTTTGCAAGGATCACGCGACAAGGCGTCATAATGACGTAAATGTATGACAGGAGTGTCAAAGTGACAGCTGTATTAGTTAAGTTATTGAGCATTAAGCATATAAAATCTCTCAAGTATTTTTTTTTTCACGGACGACTTCAGCTGAAAACGATTTCTACAATATGAACGACCTTTCTTACATCTATTTACCCCACATTATTGTTCGTCGTTAAAGGGCGTGACTGCAGAGGTTAGTCGAATTCAAGTGACTATTATAGACAAGTATTAGGTTCCGTGTTTGCTTAGCAATATACGCAGGCATTTTTATTACATTGTTTGCTGTGTAATACAATATGTAATACTACTTTTTGAGTCGTCTTCGTTTACTAGTTTCTTTGTTCACAACAATACCCGTTTACGAGGAAACGATGATTTTTTTAAATGGGAGTTTTGCTCGCATGATCGAGGCGGAGATCAAAACTTTCTTCACACTATTTAAAACTGGTCATTTTAAGAAAGCAACATCCTGGATTTGATCCAACGATTTCCAGATCGACATGTGTGTGGATGCATGGTCACTCCACTGAAAGAGCACGGCAGGTGGTTGAATGCAAATGTAGTGTTATGATACGTACATGACTCAGGTCATTGGTCCATCGTCCTATACAAAAGGAGTTATTCGATACTCGTACGTATGCTGTGACAACTCGCAACAGGGCTGCAGAAAACTACGTTACACACGTCAAATTCACTGTTTATAACTTCGTTAAAGTGTACGGCTACTCGGACGCTAACGTTAGTCAACTGCCTGTTTGGGGTCTCTGATCTGGGAAATGTATTCGCGCCTTTTCTAGTACCTAGGTCCAAACATTGCCTGTGAAATGCCCAGCCACACATTTATGTTTAAAATAAATAATAATTCATCTTCGAGTAAAATTGAAAAAAAAAATCCGAGTTGTTTCTACGCTCCTATACGCAATGTTTATTAAACACTGAAACCAGTGCGAAAACCATGACAACAATTATCTGTTTGAAGTTGTTTTCCCGGGATTTAGCGCGCTAAACCGTACGTAACTCTGGAGCTCGAACGAGGACAACATTTTCTTTTGTGAATGACGTCACTGTATTAGAACTTGGAATATGGAAGAAACGGTCGTCTATTTGTATTTTGCCATGAACTTCGTGATATTTACTCTTGTTGTTTATCTTCACTGCATTCCACATGCATGGAAAGACATTTATTTGTACATCGATTTTATCGGCAATGAAGATCTATTATTCCTCACATAGACTTGTGTAACACAAACGTGCGACGCCAAACAGTATCGCAATAAATGTGGTTTCGCAGCGTTTTGGTATTAGTACTTTGCTTCGTCTTTCAATTATATACACATCATCGGTATACAGCATTAAGAGTCCGGCTGTATACCGATGATGTGTATATAATTGATAGACGAAGTAAAATATCTTTACTATCAAGAGAGTTATAATGACGAATAAGCTCTTTTGAAACGAAAACACAGACATACGTAGAATTATACTTTTTAAAACCAGTCAAGAGGTATAGTTCACATCTCTCAAGAAACAAGTGTTCCACTAGTTTTGATGTTACTGTTGTAATGGCAATAGGACGGTAGTTGTTCTTGCTGGTTACATCTCCATTTTTATTTTTTAATAGAGGGAGAAAGATAACATTTGGCACCTCAGTCAGGAGGGAAGTATCCGTGAACAAACATATATGAGATACACATAGACAACTGCACATTCATACACTAGTTAGCATACTTAAGATTCTCAGCGCAGAGACCACCAGAGCCACGTGACCTTTGAGTTGGTAACTTGCCGATAATATTTACAATATTGGCGCTAGATACATAATATGAGGTTATTACGAGGATACTACAAAGCGGAGGTCGATGCGACCGCGTACTGTCAGATTGCATACTTTGCAGTATCCTCGTAATAACCTTATTATTATACATCTTTTCCTACCAGGGATACATCATGGGAATGCCGAAATTCAAAAAGTTTAGAACAGAATCAGCAAACTTCTTTGTGTGTGGGGTCTGGTCAAATCCTTGTATATATACTGACTAGGTAAATAGTCACAACGCCCTCATGCGATCAATCCACTCACATTATAATGATTCTAACTAATATGGGAGTTGTTTTTTTGGATATATCATTAGCGTTTTCACTGTATCATAATACATCTTGCAACATACTCATACGACACAGTTTCCATTTTTACCTAAAATGTAGTTATAGTCGAAGTCGACTCTATTATATACTGAAATAAAATAAAAGTTGATACAAAATGGCTGTATATTTTGTTTCTCTCGTATGTTCCGCATCATTTATGTCTTATTGATTCATCCATCAACACTCGTCACACATCCCATATGGTCTGTTGAATGAATGAGAATTCAATTTGATAAATGATCGAATACATAAGTATAAATTTCAACACCATAAGTGGAAGCCATGAAATATGAAAAACGCACGGGGATCAAGAAAAATACGAATCATCTTAACAAAAATGTTTCCACATTCTATCAAGTTATGTTGCGAAAGTAAAGAAAATGATTATGCACTCACTGACAAGAACCACGGCATTCTTTTTTCATGAAATAAAAGTATGTTTCATCAGAACACATCCCTGTACTCGCCCAGTAGTTGCAGTGTCTCGTTGAGTAATTCTTAGAATTCTCGCAATGCCCTGGATCTACAAACAAAGCAATGTATGACGCGTGAATATACAAGCTTTGCACAGCCCCTAAGTTGCCATTTCAAACATCACATTTTCCCCGACAAGTGTCCAAATGATTGAACATTATAAAGGTTTGAGCCTGAGTGTGATTATAGTTACTAGGACATAGTTCTTCTGTCCAAGATGTACCATCCGCCACATCGACATTTTGCAAAAAATGTTATGTTGGGCTTGTCCGGTTACTAGGGAGATAGACCATTGCCTGAAACGTGTATTTATTTTGAAGACTTTACTTATGACAACGAGTACCAATTATTGTCAAGTATATGTAATTTTAAAAAGTACTATCTTTCTATACGTATATAATAGTAATTATATACACGTATAAAAGCAATATAACTGCAGATATATGGCATCAACCGTTGACAGTAATAGTGTTACAATAGTATACTTACGGCAGCCTGGATCCCCTGCCATGCAACGTTCTACAATAATCATAATAATAAGAGAACAATATGTTATATCTATCATTGAATAGAAAATGTTGTTTTGTTGTTAACCAGCCAATAAATTACCAGTGCATACAAGCTGATTTCAGGCTATGTAATACGAGACTTTTACATATTGTTTATGTCAGCTGTCAGCCGTGAATACTACGTTATACCGTGTGTGTACATAGAACATACATATGAACAGTCAGTACATTGACTTGAAATACAACTCATCTAAATGAGCGATGGCGTGGTAATACAAACGATTTCTAGACGAACGTATTATGAAAGAGCGGTAGTCATCGCGCTACGCATGCGCGAAATATGGTTCTCATATAAACAAAGATGGCGACTCTGACTGTTGTCAGTGTTGTGTAAACCAACGAGTACAAACTGAGCACAGATCAAAACTCGTACCCGTGATTTCATTAGAAAGGTGCATTAGATTGTTTATCAACACAAATGTCGCACATGCGTGGCGCGACGACCACCGTCCTTTAAATATACTGTCCAACGTTTACACATACCACACAGACTGGTTGCTTCGTCATATCTGAAGTAACATGGAATATCACACGTACTGTAGGCAACATATGGGGGTTCGTTCATTATATTCGAGCTGCAATATATATAAAAGGAAAGCAAGGTTGGCAAGTAAATTCAGTACAATTGGCAAGTACAATTCAAAAAATTATAATGAATACAAACTTGCAGTCAGCTTAGATAGTCCCTGAACATATTGACCTAAATCTATATATTCATTTATATACGGTTGTAGCATATTGGTTTACAATGTATATCATGAAGAAAGCCCGTGGGTACACAGTTTATTTCACGATGGGAGCACGTGGTTTGCAATTTGTATAATCATTGGGTGTACCGTTTATTTTATTCTGGGAACACATGGATGTCAATTATGGTAGCACATGTATGTGTCATATTCACTATCCATCGTCATACCATTTATATGATCGTGTATTTATGTTATTATTACTTACACATCGTAATTGCATACCAGATATGTAGCATCAGACCATTCCGTATTTGATGCGGGAAATGTCAATGGTTGACATTCGGCGATTGCACAGCCTAGGTACAATGTACTGTCTTTCACAATCTATAATAAATAATATCAGGACGTTGCAGTTAAGGATCATTCATAAGGGATTTACCAAGTATGAATAGTTATGACATAAAATACAACATATAACTAAACAGATACAATACATGGTATAATGCCCACACTGATATAATATACTGAACTGGATATAATACCCTCACTGATGCAAAATACTAAATAGGGTATAATACCAACACTGATATAATATACTAAACTGGATATAATGCCCTCACTGATACAAAATACTAACCTGGGTATAATACTCACACTGATATAATATACTAAACTGAATATAATGCCCTCACTGATACAAAATACTAACCTGGGTATAATACCCACACTGATATAATATACTTAACTAGATATAATACCCGCACTGATACAAAATACTAACCTGGGTATAATACCCACACTGATATATATCATACTAAACTAGGTATAATACCCGCACTGATACAAACTTCTAACCTGGGTATAATACCCACACTGATATAATATACTAAACTAGATATAATGCCCTCACTAATACAAAATACTAACCTGGGTATAATACCCACACTGATATAATATAATAAACTGGATATACTACCCGCACTGATACAAAATACTAACCTGGGTATAATACCCACACTGATATATATCATACTAAACTAGGTATAATGCCCTCACTAATACAAAATACTAACCTGGGTATAATGCCTACACTGATATAATATACTAAACTGGATATGTGCCCACACTGATACAAAATACTAACCTGGGTATAATACCCACACTGATATAATATACTAAACTGAATATAATGCCCTCACTGATACAAAATACTAACCTGGGTATAAAACCCACACTGATATAATATACTAAACTGGATATAATACCCACACTG